AAAGAAAGAAAGAAAGAAAGAAAGAAAGAAAGAAAGAAAGAAAGAAAGAAAGAAAGAAAGAAAGAAAGAAAGAAAGAAAGAAAGAAAGAGAAAAGAAAGAAAGAAAAAGAAAAGAAAGAAAGAAAGTCCACTATCTCCTGCTAATGTTTTGATATAGTCACTGCCTGACAATCATTTTTGTCAAAAAGCCATATTCTGTAAACACTTGACAGTGGTCTTCATTGTTTTGTTTTGCTCCTGTAGCAAAGCATGAAGTGAAACAGTGATGCAGGAATATTACTACAGTCACTGACTCTCCTCTTACAATAGTTGGGCTTCCTTGGAAGGACTTCGGTGTTGGCAGGCTGCTTTTCATTACAACAGGGTGGCCAATTTGGGGTATCACATGCAGCTGAAAAATTGTGAGTAAACTGCTATTACTTGCAGCAGGAACTTAAAGGGCTTTGACTTGCAGAAGGGAAGATCACAGGACAACACAAAATTCTTTTCTATTTAGGTGGACTGGAGAGAAAATGAGGGTTCATGCCCTCACATTGCAGCAAACCTTTGTTCTGTTATGTCCTTATAAAATAGTGGGAGAGCCAAATGCATTTCAGTTGTACTCAGAGATGAGAGTTACCCCCGTGCTCAGTTATACTGGACAAAGCTCTATTGAATTGGCTGGGACAAAAGCATGCGGTTTGTATTAAGCACGGATTCTTCTTACAATGCCATCTGGTTTCTGAGGCATAAGTTTTACAAGTGCTTGAGCATCGCTTTGGTTAGTGCTGCAGTGTTTAACTGATTGAGGAGCTCGACTCTTACAAGGAAGACAGACACACAAAAGTCAAAGCCCTATTTGTTTCTGCCATTGCTTAGAGGTTTTCTGTATAGCCAAGGGCAGACAGCGGTTCATCACCTCTCTGTGTCTACAAAGTCAGCTGGGTCTGGATCAACGGAAATACCCAAGGCTCTATAGATACATCTTTAGGAACCCAAATTCTTTAAAACCTGGCTCTAAATGACTAAAGAAAAGAAATCTCATTAGGGGTGAAGTGACCCTAAAAGCCAGTTGTGTTGTTTTGAAAACCCTACAAGCCTCTCAGTTTCACAAGCAATCTAATTCATGTCCAAGAAGGAGTTCAAATCCTCTTTGTACAGTAGTTAATGCTAGAGTAAGTTTTCCTCATACTGGTTTACAATACACTTAGTTTCTAGAGAGGAATAGTTTTGCATTGGCATGAGGCAGATTGGAAGAAAACAGCTTCCCAATGACTCTGCCAGGCAAGGCGCTGCCGCACACAGCTTGACTACGCTGATACTAAACGCTTTGATTTTCCCTGTAAATAACGGTGCTTGAGAAAAGAGCAAGGTGAAGTCTCTCATTACATGGACAAAAGGAAGTAGGAAGCACGAAGCATCTCAACGGGTGGCTCTCCTTTTTGCCCCCCTTTTTGTTTTCCTGGATTTGAGTTTTAAAATGGGTTATATTTTGCCTGCAGCAATTTCTTTTAATAACTGCAATTATTCTCTCCCATTGTTCTGATTCTTACAAGCAAATTAGGGAAATTCAAAGGCAATTTTCATGATTGTTTGTTGTCAGGGGCTTATGAATGGCTGTTCTATTTTACTGGGATGTCTCGTTAAATAAATACCGAGCATGGCACAAGAGCCGTAAACAGTCAGATAAAGATCAATTCATTTAGGGATAGATCCTGCTTGGTGCTTAGGTGGGCATGCGGGACATACGGCAGGACTCCTTCACCATAGACATAATTTGCAGGCCACAGCAAAGGGCATTCTGAATAAATAGCACCAGGACCTTGTGACATACCATGTGGGAGATAACGATGCAAGCTAAGAACAACAGCAAGACTACATTTCTGGAAAACAAACAAACACACACACACACACACACACGCACACACAAAACACACCCAAAATCAACCCAAAAAACAAAGTCAAAGCCCCTAAAAGGACTGAAGTATCCATTTATCCAGCTCAAAATATCATGCAAATGTGTCACAAAGGTGCATCCATCAATGACAGAGGATCAGGGACACATGCCAAATCATTTTAGGTTCAATCTGGCTGGAGGAAAGTGAATGTACAAGGCAAACTTAAGCTAATAACTTCCAAATGCTCCGGTATCTCTGAGGTTTCTAACACATAATAGGACTGATTTCCACTTCCATTAACATGCAGATACTCCTGCTAAATCTCTGTAAAGACAAGCCAGGTATAAAAGATGACAAGCCTAATGTTTTTAGCCTGTTTTACCTTTTTAAACCTCTGATGAAGTGCAATCAAATCCAGCGAAGTGGGAGAAATCTCAGTCTAAGTTACACAAAATTAAATTGGACTCAATACAGCCAGCACTGTGGACTGTAGAGGCTCAACAGTATTAGCTATCTTTATAAATGTTCCCAGTTGGGGCTGATAATTAGCCACAAGGCAGGCATCTGCATGATACTGAACTTCAATTCCAGCACTTGCTGAATTATTTTACCACATATTTTATTAGTTTATTAATGTTGATGAGGAAAGACAGAAAAATGAGAAGTTTCAGCAAAATACCTGTAACCTGATTAACAATTCACATGTGGAATCTTCCCTGCTTATCTACTATTATTTGTGCATCACAGATTTTGTGCAACCCACCTTTACTATAGAGAGAAATCAAACCTTTCTCCTCCTCCTGAATGACTCAGCAGGGAGAAAGTCAGACACGTTGCTAGAATACCTATCAAATCCTGTGTTCATAAGGTGCTCTGAAGAGGACCTACTCCATAGACACATCTCGGCAACCCATATCATCTAGAGCTTCTTCTCAGAGCTTTATGCTTATTAGAATTTCTAAAAGCTCAGAGGCAAAAAAATAATGCTGGTGGGAGAGGATTAGCAAACTCTCCTCCATCTGCTTATCCCAAGGCAACACGAGCCTGGTTCTGGAGACATTAATCTACTCTCAGTGACAAAGACAATGAGAATGTGAATTGCTAGGCCGTTCTCACAGAAGGACCATGGACCCCAACCAATTTTTTTAACTTTTACTCTAATTTTCAGAATCCACTGCATCTGGTGCCTTTGCAACATGCAAATATCCACAGCTTGATCTCATAAACTTGCTGAGCCTCACGTTCTCCTGAGCTCTCCAGGGCTAAGGACTGCTGCCTAAGAAAAGTATGGTTTTCAACCTTTGGGAATAAAGGTAGTAGTTCTGTTCAGAAAATACCTACAGATGTGCTTACTCAAAATAATATACAGGCTATTAATATCCCCTACAAAAACAAAGAACATTTGTACTAAAAGAAAAACTGAACATATCAATCTGGGAACTGATCTTGAGACTCACGAATTTTAGCTGTGAGCGTCTTCATTGATCCAGAGCAGCTCCTTCCAGCAGTCTCTCATCACAGGTCCTTTTTTCCTCATCTCCTTTGGGCTTGAGTGTGTGCTCTGGACACTGGGTATGCCCTTCTTCCCTGTGCTCTCCTTGTTTGCTGGCAGCCTCTCCCAGCCAGCCACGACCCTGCCAAGGTCTCTCTCCCCTCCATCCTGGTGAGCCCACCTCTGCCAGACAGTGGCACCCAGGACAAGGAAAGCAAGTACATCTTTCTTGGCTGCAAAACCTGTGTAAAGCAATACCAGGAATACAGTTTTTATCCGGTAACAAGGCTCTGCCAACCAGCCTAATCACCAAGCCATGGGCTCTGCAGCCTCACGTCTATGTTTTGAGTGAGAGCAGGGGTTATGCCAGATTGCAAGACACAACAGGATATAGGCAGCATTGGCACAGCCTTCCTCAACACTTTCTAAGTTTGCCTCCGACATCAACACGTCAGGCCACAACTACCGTAGAACATCTTCGTGCCTACCCAGTCCTCTTTAAACAGCCAGCACCCGTCTGTGGCCTTTAGCTCAAGGCATTCCCACCTGAGGTTACCTCTACATCTTCTCATACTCCAGAGATCACAAAGCCTCTACTGTCTGACATACTACATGGGTGAAACAGTCCTCTCAGCCTCTCTTCGAGGTGAGAAGGTGACTGGTTATGAGCCACAGGGATTCTTAAACTCTTTTGCCACAAAATATCTAGCCTAATCCTTCCCTTTGTTAACATTTACACAACTGTGATTTTATTCCCTTTTCTCTGTTTTATGAAGAAATTAGCAAAAGAAATGAAGAAACTGAACTGATTTTGCATTTATTCAGATTTTTTTTTTTTTTCCAAATCTAAGCCTATGTGAAGTAGGAGAGAAAACCCTGGGCAAAACAAATCAGTATAAAGCTACCCAGGGTCATTTAGACCATTCTATATGTTTGCTTTGCTCTTTCTCACTTCTGGTAAACTAAATTTATAAATTGAAGTGAAGGCAGAAAAATAATCAATGCTTTCTAGAGCATTATTAGAAACATCTGAAGATAAACAACTCTGTTAGCAAAAATTCCAAGTCTTAATACTGTAGCTTCTCTATCGGCAGTCTTATGTTGGCTTTGTTGTCCCTGGGCAACAGAAGGCTAGTTTATGATAATTTAAGAAAGGTTACAGTGTTGGTTGCTGAAGAAACATAAATAATGGTATACTGATAGAAAAAAACAGGGCTGGGGAGTTAAAGAGAAATAATGATTCTAAGCAACCTGGACATAACCTTCTTTATTCCAAATGACACTTTTGCCCATTAAGCATGGCTTTAAACAACACATGCTTGTGATCCCAATATACAATATCTGAACTACTAAAACAATGTTTTCAATACAGTGCTTTATTTAGCAAGGGACCTGATCCAAAGCCACTTTATGTAAGGGAATTTTCCTGCTGATTGGAAAAATGAAGCCACAAAAAAACAAGGACAACTACTAAAAGTAGACAGAAGACTAAGAGGAGATATAACAGCAGTAATCAAGTACATAAAAGATTGCAGAAAAATGGAAGGGAGCAATCTATTCTCCACTTCCAGGGTGGATAGGATAAAAATAACAGGCTTAAGTCACAACAAGAAACACTAGCATTTTGCAAGAAAAAAAAATTGTTAGCAGCAAAGCACTGGACTATGATACAAGAGAAAGCAGCAGTCTCTCTTCCTACCTTCAAAACAGCTACCCAGACAACTCTGAGGAGCAGCTGAGGCATGTCTGCCTCTGCTTTGGGCACTGGAAGCCCCTTCCCTACCTCACGTCTGGCAATTCTTTCATACCCACTTTTCCAAATAGTAGCAACTGGCTGCAGGATGAGAAAAAACAAATCCTCCCACGGTCATCAATACCTAAGCCTCCCCTCTCTTCCCTGAATAAAGTTATAGCTGACAATCACTTAGGAGCATTACTCTTACCCTAGACTGTAGGAAGAGGGTGATCATCTAGAGAAAGAAGGAGCTACTGGAATCTACAGCTACTGGGTAGAAGTGGTAAAATCTCTGCAGACCTCCTATTTTCAACATGAGAAGCACCCATCTTGGGTCAGAATTCATGCATCCAGTCCAAGATCTTCAAACAGCCAGCAGCCAAACACTTGAGATAAGGTGTAAGAATGGGGTATATACATAGCAAACTCCTCTCTCCCATCAAGCTCTGCTAACCCTCTGCAGAGCTTTCAAAGACTACAGCCACATTGCTTCATTTGTGACAGGGTTGAAATCTGAGTAGAGATCAGAGAGGGAGCTGCCCCATCTTTTCTTGGAAGCACATACACCAGAAGACTTGGAAGGACTTCTTGTCTTTTGAACTATATTGCACCAGACTGGAAAAAGGGTACCTCTGCAGAGAAACAATGAAAATCTGCTGGGTGGGGCAGATCAAAAGATGTGAGAATAAACTTCCCCATAACAAAAACCACATGCTTTCATCCCAGCCAATTCAACAGAGCTTTGTCTGGTATAACTAAGTATGGAGGTAACTCTTCCCCTAAGTATGACATGTGGTTACAAAACCACAGCTTTAACTCTAACCCTCCTTTCACTGGGAGCTCAGACTTTGAACAGCATGCTCCATGCCCACTCTGGAGCTTCAGGGAATATCCCTTCCACTCTTTTCTATGCCTCCATGGCCTAGCCATGCTCTCCTCCCTGAGACAAGCAGGGTCATTGTCCCCCACCACATCTCTCCCATTACACCCCTCGCTGCTTCCCAGCCACGCCCCATGGCTCAGCCCCTTTGCTGATAGATTAGACATACACATCCAAGGAAAAGCTGTGGGCTTAAAATGGGCACTCTGAGTAATGTTAAATTAAGAAGCACAGCAACATATTCCAGACTGCCCAAAAGATTTAGAGGCCTAAAAGTGGACTGGAAATGAGACAAGGACCACAGAGTGCCACTTCTGAAAAGAGAATTTAAATCTCAGATGGCATAGGCACCCTTGCAATTCATATTCCACATTTAAACAAAAGTAAGAGGCAATATACTCCTGTTCATAAGGAAATTTTATGTCTCATTTTACAGTCATGCTTGCTATTTGGGTGCCAAATATATATTTCATAAAGAGTTGATAAAGAGTTAATCTGCATGTTAACACATAGTTAATCAGTTGTTATGGAGTCCAGCCATTGTGCAGGCTGTTTGTAAGTTTGGCTTGCAGCCGTCTACAACACCTTCAACTGATGAGCTAATAACCTCTGTAATACACACCATCCGTTACTGGAACCACCTATGCTTTCAAGCTATCATTTACTACTTTTTCTAAACTATAGATAGACCTTAATATAAAGAATGACCATTTTATGTTTGCTTGCCTGAATATATACGAGCACTCAACCACATCATTAAAATAATTTCACTGCTAAGGCATACCTAATATTCCAAACAGACAGAGCAGAATTTAAATTAGGGGGAAAAGAGACGGTGATTCCTTGCAAAAAAGTCTTGAGATGTGACAAGAAAGAAGAAAATGGATTTGTACAAAATTACAAGCCAATAAAAATGTGAACTCTACTAAAAAGTTTTTTGAGCTTTGATGAAATTTTGTTTCACTTTTAGTTTTAATCATGATTTTGCATTATACTTGCAATTTTTGTGTTCTGCTGGCCACAGGAGTAAAAATTTTGAAATACCACCACACTGATATACTGGGCATTTTTAAGTCAATGCCAAAGCTTAAACAAGGTCAGTTTTCTACTTCACAAGAAGGACATGCTTGCTACAATCCTAAATTGCCTCAGATCAAGGAGAACAAGAAATTAAGGCAACTGTGAGCTAAATATAAAGAACATGATTATATTAAAAATTGTAACCAAATATATGCATGTACCTTTTATTTTTGTAAAGGCTCAGGTCCTGGAGTCATGGGATAGGAGAGGAAAAAATCCCTTTGTTTTCTAGAAATATATTTATAACTTTGTGATTACAAAGAAGGGCCCAAATCCATGACTCAGAGTAAAATAAAAATAATATTAATTGTCCTCAATGCTGTAAAAGTTATAGTTTTCTACAAATGTATTGCATAATTGTTTGGGTGGACAAGCTTTGCAGTCATGGAGACATGAGAACAAGGGAGGGTCCTTTGCCTAGAGAAGAAAAGGACCCTTTTCCCAATCTCTTCTCACCTACCTCAACCTAAATAGTCTTTACTACAGCTAGGATGTTGCTCCCTGTCCATGGCACCCTGATACTACTGTATTTTTCTCTCAAATTCATGCTAAATGAACACTGCATGTGGCCCTGGCATCTACAGACAGATTTTCAGCTTACCTGAATGCTGGTCCATGAAATTCCTTATGTTGGGTGGCATAGTGGTGGTGAGCATGCCACTATCCTCTGGTGGGGAAAGTGAAGCTGTTTTATTTTGCCTGTAACGGTCTTGGTGGAAAAAATGGTTCTGTCTATCTAGCCTCTCCTCTTCTGTGACTTCCTTTGCAGCTGGAGAAGTGCTGAGCCTGAAAAAAAAACAAACCAAAAAATAATATTCTGAGAAGGTGAGAGACACAGAAGCTCTGACTGGGGAGCCCTTAGTTAGGGCTTATACGCCAAGTAGGAGATTTGACAGGCTTTATATAGTATCTCCACTTTGCCCTTCAGTTTACCACCTGCTCTACTCTGATGGCAGGATTTGATTCTTTTGCAAAACACAAAGCTGTAAAACTGCAGAAATTAAATCCATGCAATGTGATCCTCTTGCCTCCTTTTTCACAAAGCTGTCAAAATAATGATGTATTCATGGTATTTTACTTGATGTGTGAAATTTCCAGCACACAGATATGAATCAAAGCATTTTGTGCTATTTATCCTCTCAAAAGGATTTTGAGCCTCTAGCTTTTAATAGATGGAAACTATAATTTTAGAAGGTGGGTAGTGAAACTTCTCTTTACACTTGAGTGGACAGCTCAAGGTGATAAGGGAAGTGCTTGGGAAGCACAGTAAAGCAAAAATGTTTTATACCCAGGTACAGCATGGCCATCCCATGCCTCAGCTAATTTAAGGGAGGAGAATCTAAAGTGGAAGAATGTGTGAGGATATGTTCCATACAACCATGTATATCCAGCAACGTTCTGCCCTGGGACATGCATACCCAACTGCAATTTCACAATTCAGAGGCAAGGAAGTGGCGAATCTGTGCCATTATATGGGTAGGTCTTAGGCAGAGATGGTGCGTGAGCTCAGCTGTGCTGCCCAGTTTTACTGCAGTGAAGCAGATACCTTGTTCAAGGAGGTGTCTTTGGACTAACCTTCAATTCACAGGCAGATTAAGCAGGAAATACTTCAGCAGAATTGGTTCAGACTGACACGTTTAGTAAGAGATAGTCCCATTTCTGTTCCTCATACGCCTTAAAACCCATCTAAAACCAGTTAAAAGCTACACTGGCTTTGTATGAGAATTTATTTACTGTTTCTTAATTTATTTATCTATTGCGCACAGTGAGGTTAGAGTGGGAAAACATCAAGCCATGTATTCAAAATGCACTATGAACTACAAAGCTGGGTCAAAGTTCCCAGCTGGGTAAACTAGCACAGCCACTTTGACTTCTAGGACTTTAACAGATTTATAGACAGCTCAAGACCAGAGAATATCGCAACAGAGATTACACTGTGGGACAGAACAGCTTTTCCATTTGCATTTGCTCTGTTTCTAGCTCAACACCATTGTCAGCCATACGTGGGACTGCATAATGGTGGTGTAATATAAATAGCATTTCTTAACGCTGGAAAGAAGATGGAGTGAACCAGGTTCTGGGTACCCCTCCACTGTGGATTTGTACTACAGAACTGGATCCCCATAAACAAATAAAAAAAAGTACACGAAACCTATGGAAGTCAATCAAGAAACTTATTTGTTAGGTGGGGGTGGGGTGGTGAACTTGCCATTTTTTAAAAATGTCATAGAATTTGGACTTACTCAGTTTTAAAAATGACTGGAAAAGATTACAACATTAACAATTTTTAAAGTACCCATCACGTGACTTTTCTACAAACAGTTACCCATAAATGTAAATATTTTTGGAAACGTGCAATTCTTACAACAATTTATTTGCCGTTCCAGAAAAATCTTTTAACACAGCTGCAGAAGATGCAATGCCATTTCTCTAGATTTCAAACCTCCTGAGAAACCAATTATGTTGATTGAAAATTGGTTATTTCCTTCACCAATTTCCCACCAATCAGGATAACATCACTACACAGGTTTCTAATCAGGATTCATTAGAGTGGATGCAAAAAGTATTATGAGGTCTTCTTTTGGATTACTATGCACTATTCTCTAGGATAAGAGGCTTGACTTTTTTTGTTTTAAAAAATCAGATCATAAGAGCAAATTATGTATGAGTGATATACAGAAAAAAGTAATTGCACTTACGGGAACAGTTGCCTGAGGATAGGATCTTCTCCAAAGCATGTATCTCTTAGATGTAACTCTTTACACAACAGTCCTGTAAAACTGAAAACACAATAAATTCATAGGACTTCTCGGTCACATCACAGACTTTAAGAGAGCTAAATTCCACCTATAGAATTTTATACACAACAGAAACATCCTGCCACAAAAACACACTCTGTTGGTTTTGTATCATTTTAAACAGCACCTTAACGAATGTCATAAAAATCTTACCTATTTGCTCCCTGTCTTCAGGGACTTGAGATTAATAAAAAGAGTCAGAGTAAGATTTAACTTCAGATACAACGGGAACTACTGAAATGGCTGTTCAGTTTCTACCTGAATTTATTGGTGCTCTTTCAAATTTCAATGCTGACGGCTATTTCTCTTTCAAAAAGATGGGGCAAATATCTTGACATGCTGCTGGAACTGGTAAGCAGCTCCAGGCATGCCTATGGCAGCAGCCCATGTTAATTCTGTGCCTGTCATCAGACCTTGCAAAATTGGATGTCATATGCTGAAGCAAGTTATGGCATCTGCAGGGCGTTTTACAACTGGAGACTGTGTCTTGCAGTTATGTGACATTAGACACACTGGGAGTTACCCCCATTCCCCCTTCACATGTTTTTTTGGCTACCCCTTTCTACATCTCCCAATGTAGACTTTTTAGAATATTCATAAGCCTAAGTGACCTTGCAATCTTTGGAGGTTCAGTTCTCCAAATATTCCATCTCTACCAAGATAAAGATCTGGGCACAAAATTTAGCAATCTCCCATTTTCTAGTGTTGTTAACTGCAAAAGACTCAACTGTTTTTCACTTATTCACCTTTCTCTAAGACTATCCAAACCGTACAGAAAACTGCCAGGACAGGAATTACTGACTCGTCCTTGGAAGCCACTGTATCTAAATGCATATGGAAAAGATTCCTTATAATGAAGACTTCCCCAGCAGAAAATTTATTTATTTAAATGCACTGGCTATTTAAAAAAATTCCACAGACATGCTTTAATGATGAGCCATTTTGATTAGTGCAGTACATTTTTCTCATAGTATATGATACTGGTTTTTCTCTACACTTTCTGTCTCCTAGTCAGGCTGTTGCATTTTCTTTTTATTTTGTTTCTCATCCTTAATTAACTTGACAATCTTTTTTTTTTCTTTTTTTCTTTTTTTTTTTATGAAATGTGTCCCTTTCTTATGACAGCTGATTGACAAAACACAGCTTCTGAAATCAAAGACAATCTAAGCAGTAGATCACAGGTATGAAAAGTACCCAGACAAGTACACACACTGAGACAGCAAATTAAAAAAAGATTAAAGAAGGTATTTGCTATCCCCTGGATGGCAGGCATTGCAAGTAAAGTACCGACAGCAGTACTGGCCTCTGATTATAAGTGAGAAGGCAGCTCATTCTCCTCATTTTAAAAATCTTTATCAGGCTATTCTTTAATCAATACTGGAAGGAAAGGTAAAGGCATGGACATGTGAATGCACATCAATGCAGGTATGCCATCGCTAAATCATTTTCAGCATGACAGAAATAAAATAGCCACAGAGCCATCCCCTTCTTTGGTTGACATAGCAGATTATGAAAGCTGAATTTCAGGGTTTAGTAAGAAAAGAAAAGCTGTGAGAAAGCAAAGAAAAAAAAAAAAAAAGTATTCTCCCTCTGTGTAGAAACAGCATCATAATCATGCATTTCCTAACCATGTGAATACCTACTCAGGAGCAAGGAGTACATACCCTTTCTTTTCTTTTTTCAGTTGGAACAATTTGAGATCAGATTGTGTACATGACCCTAAAACTGTCAGTCAGACTCCTTCCACCCAACACAGTCCCAAAGCTCTGTAGATTCACAGAGGCTATCATTGCAAAATATTTGATTAATAGGGACAATTTAGGCTGATAATCTTATTTTGTTGCATTCATAAGAACTGAGTCATGGGTGTCTCTTCATCAACTTTTCATGTCTAGGAACCTGAGAAATTTTACCACATTCAGTGACTTAATGGCTGATTTGGCTTAGAACTACATTCCACAACAGCAGAGCACCCTGGAGATACACTCGCTTGTCATAATATATAAAACTTCTTCCAAATCCATTGTGCGTGGCTTTACACCGTTCACTGAAGACCTTGAAGGAAGAAAAGACTCTTTTCTTGTCTCATTGCTCCCAGGATGATGCTTGAAAGCTAGCAAATGAAATACTGGAAAGGAGTTTCAGAGATCTGTTGTATATTTGTTTTTCTCTAAGAAACAGAGTGGAAAATGGCTTCACAAAAAGTTGCTTCAGAGTAGGACTATGAACGCTATTTACAGAACACCCTAGGCGTTAATATTTGACTTGTACAGGTATGCTTTCAAGAAAAAAAAATACACATCTCTTGTACGATATTAATCAATACAGCATCCCAAGATATGAAGTTGCAGAGTTAGACACCTGTGTGAAATTCTGGGTCCAATGAAATAAAGAGAAGCTCAGCCACTAACTTCAGTTTCAATCAGAAATGTATCCCTGACAGCGTGGCTGACCATCTCTGGTGCCTTGGTGTCAGGCACTCAAGCCAGCTTCAAACCATCCGTAAGCAGGTATGCCAGTACTAAACATCCATAGTCTCTTTCCAGGCAAGAGAAATTAGTGAAGATTTTTCACCTTGGCCAATTGAGTTTTCATCAGTCTTGACTTTCTGGCCACATGATTAGAAAATTCAGAAAGAACACTTTTGAGAAGGTAATTTTTTGAAAGTGAAATAAACAGCTCTTTCTCACATGTTTGCACACGTTAATTACTTGCAAAATGGGAAGTATTAGCCCTGTCTTTTTCTGGTTTTATTACTATAAATATACAGAAATTAAAATACCCTATCCAGCAGCAGCATAAAGCTTTTGACTGCTGTTATCAGTACAAGAAACCTCCTTCCAAAAGGCCTATGAGTGAATGATACCCATAGATTTAACCTTTATATGTGGTAGCAAGAAAGCTGAATGGCATTTTCATTTTATACCTGTGGAAATATGACAAGACAGGCTCAAGCTAATCTATGTATTTCCTAAATGTACTCGGGCATCTCAAGGATGCAAAATTCCACTCTTCTTTAGGATTTATGAGAGCATCTTGTGTGAATCCCCAGTATTAAAGCCCACTCTTTCTTCCTCTGTGAATGCAACCATTAACAGTGTATGACAGTACTGGTTAGAAATAGACAGGGGAATTAGTTACTTAGGTGATCTTATCTCTTAGGTGATCTTATCTCTTGAACATTGTTTTACTTTCAGTGCTCAACTTGCAATCTCTGTTTTTTCATCTTTTCACTTTCATTCATATATGGCCTATATGTGTGTATATATATTTAAGTTCTGATATTCTAAAAATATAAACTGAACTCTTCTTCCAATTCCAAATGCCATTATGTGGGACCAGACTGACACTGATATGGGTAACTGGAGGGCTGGAACACGGAATGCCATAGCCAAACCTGCAGGTGGTACTCAAGCATTTCAGGTGTGAAGTAACTGATCAGTGACTGGCAGCATGGCAGTCCTCCTTGTCTTCTGCTGGTTAATTAAAATCCCAAGATATAGAGGAAGGACACAAGCAGAAAACCAACAGCAGCACTGTTCTACACTCAGTTCATTTCTCACCTGGCAATGTAATGGTGCCATCTCCAAGAAACTCACCATCTTCTGCCTCTGCATGACTCTCTCATGTCTCTGAAATATGCGGTATGTCCTGTGGCTCTGAACCAAGTGGAGATTTTTTGAAAGCAGCCTGTAGACTTGACATGACTACTTCTGAAACAACAGATGAGCAGCACTCTGCTCTCCCCCACCATGGACTGGCATAAGGAAGAAGCACTTACTTTGGACAGGTCCTCATAAAATCTCACCTTTTTAACACACCCCAAAATGGGTTGTCGTGCTTCTGCCTCTGACTCACTCCAGGCTGTGAGCCTAACCAGATAACTCCTTCACTCTTAGGAGCGACAGGCAGCCTTGCCAACTTGAGCTATTTCCATCCCCCTGCATGTGTTATAGACCAACATCTATCAGACTAAGTGTCCCACTCTCTGTGTATTTGTTGAAAAATCTCTTACTTAGTTGTAGAACTTGTAACTTTAGAAAATGTTCTAAAATGATACAGCATACATAAAGAATTCTCATTTAGAAAGCAAAGCTATAAATGTAGTAATTTCTACTCTACTCTCAGTATTTAACCTTCATATTTTACTTGGATTCATTCAGAGCTTGTAAGAAAACCAAGAAGCAAAACCTTTAAAAGTTTGATAAATACTTTTTCCAAAAAACATTTAATTGTAAAAATGAATAAATAAATAAATAAAATGCCTGTACAGAAAACTTCAAGCTGGTAAACCAACCAGTGAACTGTATGAAGGAATCACTATGCTCCATCTCCAGCATACTGCTACCACCTGTGTCACAATTTCACAGGTATATTGGTTTCCACATGCAGAACCAGGCACACATACATGAGGTAAGTATCAATGTACACAACACTCAAACTGTATAAACACACATGAACACTTATCTACAAATACACAGATGTTCCCTCTCGTATCTTCTTTTTCTTGTATGTATGTTTAGAGAGAGCATTGGCACACGTGTACAGTATGTACAACACAGTGACATTTGCTTCTAACAGCATGAGCCTTTTGTTCTCATTTTGCTTACCTGTCACTTCCTCTTAATCAGGCAACTGATGCAGTTGTAACCTAATACAACTAGAAGGCACTGTCAAATGCTTAATAATTTGCAGACTTCTTTTCCTTCAAAGCAGACTCAGAGTGCAAGTGGCACAGAAGAAGCATGCTTGAACTCTCCTGACCTGGACAGCTGCTCAAATAATGGCTCAAAAATTAATACCAACAAAAAAAAGTGTTGAAGGCAAAATTTTGGCATGTGTCCTTCTTTGTTCCTTTACAGATTTTGAGTATCTTCTTAAGAAAATTAATATAAATAAACAAACTAGACTGAAATATAAAGATCAGAAACAAAGCAAAAAGTTGTATATAAACAAACTTTTTTAATACAATGAATTCAAGG